TTATTGCATTGAAAAATTAATATAGCATAGAATATCATTCATAAAAAATTAGCATATCGTTCTAGTTGGGAAATGAATGAGAATGTAAGGTTAGAGAGAGTTTTAAAAAATCACAAATGAGGTATTTTTTTCCCTTCCCTTTTTTTATTTTAAGAATTGAGGTAGTCTAAGTAAAGCATTTTGCGATAATGTCATTTCCAAAATATAAAAATTAATTACATATTTAATTTGAATAATACACTTTTAATAATAATAATATAAAAGAAATGAGATTTTTTAATAATAAAATGTTCTGTAATGAGAATCTTTTATTTAAATGCTATTTGTTCGATTACTTTAATTTTAGTTTTCAGCTAGTGTACAATTTCTTATTTCGATCATGATTTTCTGTTACATTCGTATTAGAAAAAAAACGGATTATGTCCGTGTTATTTGTTTCAATTGAGATTTATTTCGATAAGGATAGACTTTGTTTTCAATTGAATATTTAAAAATTTGTAAAATTGAAATATCACTTGTTTTGCTTTAAATTAAAAATTTCGATAAAAATTTGGTACGGAGGCGATTATTTTCACCAAATCGAAATAAATCTTAAAAGGCTTGTTTTCTTTTAAAAATTAAAGAAGTTTACAAAAAGTTATGATTTTCCGTTTTGTTCTAATAAGGCAGAGAAGGTCACAGAAGCATATATTCTAACAAATAAATTGAAAAGCAATGCGCCAAAGGCAAACTATACATAAAATTCCCATTGTAGGATCTATCTTATTTTATGCAATGTATATATTGCCAGCATTTTTCTCACGAGGTTTAAATAAAAGTTGCACAACTAATATCTCTTGAACTTTGAGCAATATTTTCAGTTTAAAAAAATCAAGTAGGACTGGAACCTTCATCATGTGCTGGCATCTGCAAAAGATATATGCGACAAATCGTTTATGTGAGCCTTCTGCAGAAGCAGTTCCAATTAGTAATTCTTGCTTTTTATTAAAGATCATTGAAAAAAACATTCCCAGCAAAACCGAGCATGAAATGTTTTTACCCAAACTATTTGGCTTAAATTAAATGACAAAAACGAGAAATATAGATTTAAAGATCAAGAACTCGTATAAAAATTGACTCTCAGTGAATACAAAATATTAAATTTTTTGACATTTACACAAATGTAAATGTAAATCACTATTTCTAAAACTATATTTCTCTAAAGAAAAGAAATATTTTAGAAAATTCTCTTTTGAAACTTTATTGTTAGTAGTTACCATTAGAACTATTGGTTCATTTACACTGAATCAAAGGGTTTATCAGCCATTCAAAGCAATCGTGTCTATAAATGGCCTTATACAGCTCAGAAATTCGCAATAGCTAGTCAAAGATATATACTTTCGATTACAAATGCATTTCAAATGGCATAAATATTCATATTTTGGCATTTCGAAGTTTAAAATAATTCATTTTGTAAAAATTACGAAATCTGACTTTTTTATGAACCTGGTCCTTATCGCTACGTTTACTAATTTATACATGTTCTAAAAAATAATACAGACCGCTTGTCTCCCGTAAGACAACATTTGACCGAGATATTTAATTTTAGGTTTTCTGCTCATACTTTGGGAAAGCTAAAATGCCACACACGAATTGAAGAGCGAAATATATAAATACATATGTAGCTAAAAATGAAATATCAGATTAGTAAACAGTTTCTGATATTAATAAATTAAGTGGCAAACATTAATACATAGACTGCCCTGAAATGTTTTGATCAAAACATTTATACATATAAAGAGATCACAGACTCTTATAAAATTTGAATTTTGGAACCTAGTAGCAAGCCTCAAGCCAACTCGTAACATTTTTACGACTATTAGATTAATAATACTTAAGTAATAAAATTACATGTGAATATTATTACCGCATTTTTAGCACTTAAAACATTGTGTGACAAGTCTTTTTGGCGCAGAAAATGTAAAAAAAAAAATATGTATATATAAGTGAAAGAATATTATGCCCTAGCAAATTCTAAAGATATAACATTGAATGACATTATATAAAAAAAGTATAAACCTGGGTTCATAGTAATTACCCTTTAACCCATCCTTCAAGGAAAGCGATAAGTTTGTCTTTGTGGCTTGGAAAAAAATCTATTAACATCAGCAACGTTTTCCTAAACAAATATTTCACGTTTAGTTAAACGCAGATTTATATTATTTCTTTCTCCAATTTGTTACGCCCCATCAGTTTTCAAAAAGCATGATCTCAAGTTTTCAAGTTAGATACTTCGGTCAAATTTTGTCTTATCACAAACTTATCTAAACCTCTTTTATTTTTAAGAATGAATATAAAATCTTACTAAATATAACCAGTGTCCAGTGAGCCGTCTGAAAGGGCATATCTCGTAATTTTTGCAAATTAGATTACTTTAAATATAAGAATTCCGAAACAGGAACATTTACGTCATTTAAGGTAATTTTATAATTTGAAATATATGTTTACAACAAAATGTTGTCCAAAAAAGACGCGAAAAAACTTTACAGGCACAATATGTATTTATCTACACAGTGAGCTTGAAACATCGTATATATTCTCTTTAGACAAGGAAACGCCATTAAAACTCGATTTAGAGAAGGAAATCAATGAAGCACTTAAAACATTTCATAAATGTTGCCAAGAAATTTTGTAAAATATGCCATCACCGTCAAGATTTTGTACATTTCCTTACAAGCCAAACATTTTAACAAATTTTATTCTTTCTGCACTAGTAAGACCCCAGCTGCCATTTGGATATATAGTGGAACCTCAGATTACGAACTTCTAACCTTATATATATATATATAAACCGCCTCGGATGGCGAGCGTTGTTCAGAGCTCTTAACACTCTAATCAGTAACCTACTGATTTTCAAAGAGTTTCGATTTTACCATTTTAATAATTTACATTGCTTATTTACCATTAACAAAGCCTGGCAACAAGGGACGTACAGGACCACGAATTCTGCCTGGACGAATTTATAACAAAATTGGGTTGATTCTGAGAAACTTTGACATTTAGTACTATTTTTTACGGATGATATTATGTGTCAAGCACAACCGTACTGTAAGAATTTAACAATAAAGACGTGATGAAACTACTATAAGATCATAACAGTAAGCGGAACACGAAAGAGCTACAAAAACTTCAGAAGCAGCAATAAAAGGCGATTTTGGGAGAAAGAAAGAAAGAAAAATGACGCCATTTCTCTGATCCACGAAGTTTTTGAAAAATGGGAAGATGAAAAGCTTGCACATAAAAATTTCATCCTTAATAAAGCAGTAGCAAGCTACATCGTAATCAGTTTCAATGAAAATGCTATGTTTCACTTTAAAACCTAATCAACAGCATATCCTATTTAGCAAATTTTGAAAGAAACAGAGGCCCAGTGAATCTTAAGCAAAGTAGAGTGGCACTAAGGGGAAAGGAAAAGGTAAAAGAAGATGCTCTCTAAAGATTGTTACGGAAAGATGTTGTGATATTGCTATGGAATATCTGTGATATTGCTATGGAAGAAATTTCACATCGATACAATATTTTACTCGTCATTTTCCATTTATGCCTTCCACACTCATTTTCACAGATACAGTAAAATTAAATTAAGTTTTCGCCTATTTTATCTGTCTAATATTATGATTATCATTTTTAATATGTACTTTTTTATCTTTTTTCATTTTATATTTGACTTCTATCGCTTTTGGGTTACGAACTTGTACACCAGTACTTAGTTTGTTAACACAAGTACTTAGTTAGTTTACAAGTGTGAAGTTTAAGTAAACAGTCATCTGTGGTCCAGGAATAAATTAATTCATTTTACATTAATTCCTAAGAAGAAACTTCTTACAAACATTTCGGTTGATGAACGCCCTTCAGGAATGAATTAAATTCGTGAACCGAGGTTTCGGCTGCTTAAAAATTTAATGCTTCATTTATAAAGCAATTTAATGCTCACTTTTTAATTTAATGCTTTAATTTATAAAGCAGATAAACTGAAGTGTCATAAACATGTCCCATAAACTAAGAACTGAATTTAAACTGTTCGGCTGAATGCGTTTACTAAACATAATTTTTTATTTTATAAAATTCTTTGTGTTTGCCTCGAAATGCATTGAAAAAACCTAAAAATTTGATTAATTGCATAAATTGTTTACATACTTTCAATATGTATCCAAAGATGTCCTTACAACAACAATAAAGATTCCTTTTAAATTCCATAATTTTCTATCGACTTTTAATTAATTTAGATATTCAGATTTCTGAGTTTGACATAAGCATTTTAGTTTTTTGGCTTACCAAAAATATATGAATAATAATATCTTTGATTTAAATAATCCCCCTATTACTTAAATTGCGAAGCGAAGCTACAGCTATAAAATAAATGTAATACTAATATATAACCATAACAGAACCCAAATCGACCATGTAAAAACATGTTTCAGTTCTCTCATATGCGAGAATTATTTTGACAAGATCGAAAGTATTTTTGGATCAAAGCAAACTCATGTCTGAATAAAACTGAACACCTTTCTTGAGGAAACTAGTTATGAATAAAGCTTTTATGGCACTTTGAATTAATTGCATACAAGTTTACAAGTTACAGTAAAGGATTTATTTTACGGTTGGAAAAAATTAACTAAATAATCAGTACGTTGGCCTTTAATTATTTTATGAATTCTTTAGAAGCAACGTTAGTTTTTAACAATTTGGACTTTACTATGCGCATTGGCATTAAAATTACAAACATGCTTTGATATAAATAAGGAATAAACTTTTCAGCCAGAATTTCCTGCAAAACTGGTATGAAGATTATCATTTAAGATTATTGTGCAGCAAAATGATTTCATGTGCATTCATAAAACTTAAATATTTCGTTTTAAGAAAACAGGCATGTTTTTTAAAAATGGTGTTCTCAGATCTGTATAAAATCAATAAATAAATATGGTTAAGAAATTAATAATTCAATAACGAAATTTTTCATCTTGAGTGTAAATTCTTATTTAAAATTTAATTTTAGGGAGTAAATTTTTTTTTCTCATCATTGGAAAACACATTGTAGAGTTTTTAAATTCTTCAACATGCACTGTCTGCCCAAAAATTTCCAAAACTGAATTAATGAGAACTTAAGATGAACATTTTAATACTTCAGTATTCTATATAATCTCCCTCCGCCATTTAAGTACAATTTACAGAATGTTCATACAATCATATGAAACTGCCAGGAAAGTCCTTGTTTGAAATGCTATACAACCTGCGTATCACTGTGGCTTGATTATCGGTGACGTCATAATAGCGGGGATCTTCATATGAAGTTTCATTTTCGGGTATAAAAGAAAAAGTTACTGGGCGACAAATCCGGTGACTATGGAGGATGGTTAAGAACTGGCGCATGTTTTTTCGCTAAAATCTGCACTATAATACCAGCCGTGTGAGTGGGCACATTGTCGTGCATCAAGAAGAAATCTCTCTCCTTCCATCATTCCGGACGAAATCCTCTTGCACAATCAATCCTCTTACACCTAAATCCTTTTGCACAACTGATATATGACATCCGGAAATCGCATTCCCTGATTTATTCCAGTTAAAATTTCTAGTTGTGATTATAGGCCAGGAAGAAAATCTGGCTCGGGACTTTTTGAACGGACGGTGTATATGCATAAACAATGTTGAAGAAAACAAACCGTGAACAACGTTTGGTCAAATAATATCAATTGATCCTTTCTTACATTCAGTTCAGTAATAATTCTACAATATTTTTTACACAAATTTTTATCAAATAAATTCAATTGACTCTACAAAAAGTTCTTATTAAAAACATAATGAGAGTTCCTTTGCAAAAGTAACTTAACAACAAAAATTTTAACTTTGCCATTTAAACTTCTACTTTATAAGTAAATTTTGCAAAGTAATAGGTTAAAGAAACGATAGTTTCTTTCCGTATTTTCAGATGGCTTAGATATCGCCGCTTTGAAGTAATTGTCTTCCAACTAAATTTTGAAACTAAAACTTCTCAAGACATTTCTACTACATAACTAAAACAAGAAAATAGCATATATAAAAAAAAAAATTCCACAAGAAGTTTCAATATATGACATTTATAAATGAATGTCTTTCTATATATAAATATCTTTTTCTTGAAATATATTATACAAGATACCAGATCAATCATTCAACTTCTGCTGAACGTACTGAGAAGTGTTCTTTGAATATATAACACAACAGAAGATCTTTTATCCAAGAATCTAAATTGACAAACATTTACACAATTCGATTGATAAATTTTAGCTCTCTCTTTTTAAAAATTATTTTAATCCAATTATAAAACTCATCACTTGATGACACAATTATTGTAATGTACTACATGCACTCCAGAGGAACTGTCATTGAGTTACATACATCTTTTTCACATGAAGAGTTCCTTGGTAACTCTAAAGTAGGCTGGTAATACGGTGCTAAGCCACAGCCAAAGAGAATCATCCTGTTGCAAACGGTTATGGCAAAGAATGTGATCAGTATATATTTACATGTGATGCATCAAATTAACTTTTAAATCTACAAGCTTTTGACCCACATAAAGGTCCGTTTACACTAGCAGAACTTTGGGCTTATGAAACTTGACGGCTTCTCTAAAAAGTAAAAATGCACTCACGGATTTCAGAGAGTAGATATGCATTTTGTTGCATAAAACAAATAAACAACCTAGTCTAATGATGTCATTCGAAATTTCAAAAGTGAATTATTCCCTTTATGAAACTAATTCATTCAGAACTTCATCAAGTGGAGCCGTCCAGTTCGTTCTCGTTCCTTAGGCTCAGAGTTGAAATAGTGTAAATGAGCAACTTTACAGGTGCTCCGTGTGAGACCCTTTTGTCACGCAACATACATCCAGTCCAAGTATGTTGAAGCATATCGAAATCAATCGATCCTCTTACAACTGTGACAGATATGATGACGTAGATAACGTGGATTTAGAATTCAGCAAGGTCGAATGGCAAGAGCGGCAGAAAAACAGTATCTATAATACAACTTTCCCCAAAAAATTATCGCAAAGATTTATGCCCGGCAAATTAGGAGACCGGAATGTCGTTTACTGCTTTGGACTACTGACTTTATATGTATTCCTTGAAAAAATAAATTATATGAAATATCTGAAATATGTAGCAAGAAACTTCGTTAGTTAAAGTTAATTCTGACGTATTACAGATAACTAAGCATCAATTACATTATTTACTAAAAACGTATTTGCACCAGGATGATTCTTTTTGACTTATTCTTGTTCAGCTTTTTGTTTTGTTCAAATGCTCGTATAATAAGAATGAGGTTTCTAGTAAGAAGGAGGTTTTCTTTCTTACTCGTAGTTACTTGATTAAAATGCATGTAAGTACTCTTATTTCTTTATCATTTTCCAAGTTTTATTTACTTATTTATTTCTTTACTCGAAGTTTATAAAATTTCTTTAATCCTAAATATGTAGATGCTTTGGACAAATGATCTTCTATTGTCACAGCAGTTCCAAGAATAAAGTGGCACATATATTAACAGTGAATATTAGAGTTGTTGGTAATACGCATCATGTTGGTTAAAACATAGATTCAGTAATTTAGTATCACAGTGGAAGTTCCGTTCTCACACTATTCACTCAGAGATCTTCAATAGGAATGGTAGTCATGGTGCTCTTTTTTATTTTCTATAGTAATCCCTATCGTCACTTTTTTATTGTTTAGTGGATTGAGGGCAGATAAAGGTATTAATTTTTTCACCACTTCTAAAGGATTGAAATTGAGAGGAATGTTTAGTCCATGATGACCGGGAGACTTAGCCTTGAAACGTATCGTAATTCCTGGTTTACCAGGCGGAGGATGATGATGAGAAGAAGAACCATAGCTTACAGAACCAGATCTTGAAGGTACTTTGGAGGAACTAGAGTAAGTAGAAGATGGTGGATAATAGCTTGGCTTGTGAACGTGGTAGTCTGATGAACTGGATGAAATACTGCTTGAAGGGCTGTAGCCTGATTTCGAAGGGACCTCGGGCTTGTGATAAGTGGCATATCGATGGCTTGGTTTATCAGGTTGGGAGTTATATGAAGGTCTTGATTGGTGAGGTTCAGAATTCGATGGAGTACTGCTGTATGGAAGTGGCGGTGGATGAGGTGGGTATGGTCCCTCTCCTTGCCAACTCTCTTGCTTTTTTGGTTTAGTGTCATCCCAGTCTGTGTGGGCTGAAGGACTGTGCCTCCAAGGTTCACTTGGACTTCTTTTTGGTGAATAAGAAGACGTACTTGAAGGCGCTGGTGGTGGAGGAGGAGGAGGATACTGATTGTAATTGGAAGGTTGATGATGATATGTTGAATATGCTCTAGGGGTAGAATCCTGAACAGCCTTGTAACTTTTGGCATCATATGAACCTTGGGGTGGAGGATGTGAATTAGCAGGAGGTGCACTGTAATATCCTCTATGTGGAGTAGAAGTTTCAGGCGGATAGTATTCGTTTGGCCTATACTCCCTTTCAATTGGTCTGTTAGAAGAATATGATGGATATTTAGATGATTCATAACGTTCTGCATGCTTTTTCGGAGGCTGGGAGTGTGAAGAGGGATATCCAGGGTACGGCTGGTGCGATCTAGGATCCTCTGCATACGTTGCCGGTGGCACTGAATCAGATTCGAGCATTGTTGAGTTTGTAGTGCTACGTCTGGAATAGCCAGAAAGTCTTTCTAAATCCTCTTGACTGAATCCGAGTTTGGAAAGCATGGGACTTTTGGCATCCACCACAGATACTTGATAGGGTCCCACAATTGCTTGACTAATAGTGGATTCAGAATCATTCGCTTTAGTCGATGTTTCAGTGGGAGATTTATAGTGAGATCCTGGAGTCACTAACTTCTCCTTCGGAACAGAATAGTATCTGCCAGAGGGGTATTGAGTATCTCCTGAGTTATAGTAGTAGTAATGCTTGTTACGATACGTCCGCGTGACACTAGATCCTTTTGAAGAACTTGGGGGAGACTGAGAATGGATATGGTCTTTCTCGTTTGTAGGACCGATTTCGAAATCGAAAAATGTACTCAGGTCTTCTAAGTCAGGATAATCGCTTCGAGATTGAATGGTGGATTCTTCGTCAAAGATATCTTTCGTCTGAAAATAAATAAATAAATAAAAATCTACAGTATTACATATGACAAAATACAGTAATGTAAAAGACTAAAACATATCGCCTTTTTTTACACGCGAAGAATTAAAAATATTCAGAATGTTAACACATTAAAACTGATACCGAAATCATTGTACTGATAATAATACCGTGTGTATTACCGTACCGATCTTATCAGAATTCTGTATAAAAATTAACTTATACGGTATTTCTCCCGCCTTCTTGGCATGCCTTCGTAGTGTAGTGGTCTGCACGCTGGACGCGTATTCCAGAGGTCCGCGGTTCGATTCCCAGCGAAGGCGTTGCAAGTTTTTCATTTCTACCGCTTCCAAAAAAATCCTAATGTCTCTACAAGGTAACGAAAATAGTTAAAAGGGAGTTCTTTCAAAAACACAAATTTCTATCCTTCGAAATGATAAACGTTGAAAATATCAATACGATTGAATTAAGAAAGATTTGGTTATAAAATCTTACACCATAAAAAGTCACCAAAACACAAAAAAGTCACCAAATTTAACCGAGAAAATTTATTTGAAATTTATAAGCAAGTCATTTTTCATCTGACCTGCTTTCAAAAAATACCTAATGTCTGTACAGTGGCGCCCGAACTAAAAGGGTGTTGGATGATGATTCTCCGCACCCAGGTCTGTGGTGGTCTGCGCGATGGGCGCGTATCCAGAGATCCGCGGTTCGATTTTTGTTCTAAAAAGGAGAATTTGTACTTGATTGCAGATGTCTAAATCACATTGTCTAATAGCTTTGCAATCCTGTCTGATTCCCCCCTCCTTTTAGGGGAAAAAAAAAAATATGCTACATCGAAAGAATATTCTACATGCATTCTACTGAATATCATTGGATATCATATATGTTATCATGTTTTTATAATAAGAGACTAATTGCTTATAACTCCGTTTTCTTAGACTAAAATAATGAGCCTATATGCAACTTAGACGGACTTCTATGAGAGGTTATCTTTTATAATTTGGCGTAATCCTTATTAAGAAGCTTCACTGTAAAATACGTATAATGAAGAAAATGTTTAAATATTTGTTTTAAAGATGTTTAGGCAACAAAATTTTTAAAATGTATTCTTATTACCTACTTATTTTCCCATGCCTCGTTATAATCCCAATGGACCAAAGACACCCCGCTAGATCTTATCGCTGACCAGCAGTTTAACCTATAATACGTATCATTTCTGTGATCAAATTTTTCGTAAATAATACTGAAGTTGTATATATCGTGTTCGTTAAAATCTTTATACGGTCTTTATTTTTGAAAAGTTGGTCTTAGTACTTGGTTGGTCAGTTCGGCATATATACTTCTGACGGAATCATTCATGTTCACTTCTAAATTTAAGGAATTTATTTTGGAAGATTCGGAAATGTAATTTCCATATAGTCTCAGAGTTTTTGTAGTTATCTTTAGCAAAATTTTATACTCATTCTATACGGAAAAAAATTCACTCAAAAAATCAAAAGTTATCTTCATAAATTAAAAATGGTAAATATTTCTAGTTTAATGATTTATTTGTATAATTATTAGCTAATGACTCCAAACTACTCCACAAGAGTATTAGTAATGTATTTTTAGGCTTTAAAAAACTTATAAATTACTTGTGGGAAAATTCTTTCAGCACACCAGTTGTAACAAAGTTACACATTAAAAATGTCTTACATTAGTAATAAGAAAAGAATACCATAGAATGATAATTAAAGAAAAAAATCAACCCTGATTTATTCTAATGAATTTTTTAACTGATCCTCGAGGACATCAATTGTATCAACTTGTACACAATTTTCATAATTAGTACAAATTGTTGCGAAATATAACTATACGACAAGTGGGGGATTAAAAACGTTAGATATTTAAATTTTTATTAAATTGACTTTATTAAATTAAAAAATGACATAACATAAATACTCCTGCCGTTTAATTGTAAGTAGTAAATATCTACGGTTAGTGGTTACAGAAATGAAGACCATCTTAGGATTTCTGTGGAAATGGTGTATAGAAGGGCACTCTATAGTAACACATTTGCCAATATCCCTCGGCTTATGCACAAAAATACTCAGAATGCTTCCATAATTGCTTTCAAAAATTGCTTTTCTGAAGCAGGGCACAATCAGAACAATGTGCACTAAAGTGCCGTTAAGACTGCTCAGAATATAAACAAAGAATAAGGCGACTGAGCAGAATAGATATGCACTAATTAAACAACTCTCTTTACCCTGCAGCTGTTTCTTTTTTTTGCCCTTTTGGTTTGAAAATCTCAAAGGAAAATAAACGAGATATGATGATTTGGACTCTCTAATCTCAATTCGTATCAGGAATAGCTTCTCTTCTTGTTTCTAGCGCCATAATGGTGTCATTCGTGCTCAAAACTGATCCATCGATTGCAGAATTTCTGCATGCGTTCGTTCTCTTAAGATATGTTTAATAGCGGGAAATGAAATGTGGAACACATTATCACTCTTCATTTAGTTCTTCTTTTAAAAGTTACTGAACGAAAGTTTTTGTGGTAATGGCGGAAGACAACTGATTAAAAATAGCCACATTTAACGTGATAGTTTGAACTTTAGAATGGCATAATTTATTGTATTTTTGCTCGGTACTAAAAACCTGAATTATAGCTACATTCTATTTTGCTCAAAGAGCAATAATTTTGCTATTTCTTTTGTGCATAAAAGCCGTTTTTATCTTTGCTTATATTGCTTATAGGAGGAGAAAATCGGATTCCATTGCTGAACTTGAAATATGAGCTCTCTTTTCTATGTAAAATGTAGTTAGATAAGGAAACTATAATTAATAATTTAGAAGATAATAATGATGTGGATGAGAATTTAGTAGAAAAAGGTGTTTTGTGAGGAACACGAAAAATAAAATTAAAACATATCCAGTGCTTTTTTGATTAATTATTGCTTGTAATTAGGGCAAGAATTTTATCACTGGAGAAGAAGGAAATATATTCTGAGCGATCGCAGAGTAAGCAATAAAAATTCTAGAAAATTTCTTTGCCTGAATTTAGAATAACAATTTCAGGAAAATTTCGCGTTGGAACATTTGAGTAGGATGTCTACCAGAAACGAAGCAATAACATAAAGTATTAATACAAAACTAAACTAATATCATACTTTACATTTTTAACAGAAATTAACATTTATAAATTGATAACTTTCTGGAACCGTATTTCAACAGATTAAGATAACCATCCAACTGAAAGTGTTTTTTGTTTATATACATATTACATCACGTTTTATACGCATATTTTCCTTGCACAGTTGCTCGCTTTTGAAAAATATCATGCGGTGTTGAAATTGTTTGTCGGCAAAAGATGGTCAACGAAGTGCTATTTTATATGACGGTACCTCTTTCTGCAGATCTTAAAGTATTTCAAACTTCTATTTTCAATTTTGGAAACGAGCTATTCTGCAATGCATTTTTTAAGAAACTTTAACAAAAATAGTATAAAAATGATATAAATATTAAAGTAGTACAATAATTAGAAAGAGAAATTAAAAATTAAATCTTCGAAATTCATGGGGGAATTTGATATCTGTGAAATATCAGAAATTCCGTAAATTAATTATTCAGTTTTTTTCCATAAATTAATAGCTGGAACTCAAGTTGAAATCAAGTTACTGACCTATTTATATTACAAAGTGAATCACAATCTTTTAGAAGGCGGAAAAGAAAGAAAGCATTTGAAGCGAGCAATTTTATGACTATTTAAAATTTTCTATATTTGCTTTAATGTATATAAATGTGTTTATTTGTTTGCATTTTATTCTACTTTGGCTTTTGCATATTTTTATTTATTGAATATTTGTTTTTATATATTTATTTAAAATATCCAATCAATTTTATTGTTATTTGTTATGTATTATATATAATAATAAATTTGTGGTAATTTACTGTATCAATATGTGTTTAATTCCTTTAATCTTTTGTTGTAATTCTAAATAAACTGACCTTGTTAGTATTACAAAAGCAGCTTGAAACAAACCGTTGACATCTCTCTATAAGGCTAAACTGCCAATATTTGGCGATTTTTTTATCAACTTGGCAATATTTTGGTAGTTTCCTCAACACATTTCCGAGACTGATTTTTTTAGAAGATTCCAGTAGTATCATGACCCCCTGTAGTTAAAAATTACGTCATAAATACAAGCTATGAGGTGTTGGTAGCTAACATTATCTATCTATTGAGTTATGTTTAGCTGAACTGTCTTCACTTGTAAAAACTTTGATGGTCTCAAGAAAAAACAGAAGTTTAAGCTTGAGAACATGCTAGTCGGTAATTTAAGTTGTGATACACTATTTCCTTTCACGGAGGATTTTCAAAAAGTTTCTTATTTTACTATTACTTTCTAGTTGCTAAAAAACAAGAAAAGGCTTGCTTTGAATAAACTTTCATCCATGAAAAAGCTAAGAGAAAACTAATATTACAATAATTTTAAGTGAATGGATCAAATTTAGAGCAGAATATGCGAAACAGAGCGACAGCAATCAGAAAAGTATACGCCCAGATAATAAAATAGAAACAAAAAAGTTCGTGATATAAAATATTAGCCAAAAGCTGTACGGAAAAGCCGTATAAAGCTGTAGGGGATAATAAAAATGAGTAGCAAGGAATATCAGATATAAAAAAGAAATTACCGGAAATGAAACATAGAGGAATTTTTAGAACCAACAATTCGAGTGCAATAATGAAAAATCTGCATATTTTTTATTATGTTATCACATGATACAGAGTAACATTCGATTTATTATGTTAGATGTTTTTCTTTAGGGAAGACCTTGCTAAAGACTGTTGCATTCTACGGCAAATCTACATGGATTTGGAGTAATTGATTGATAACACTTGATGAAGAATTAAAACACAATTTATTCGCCAGTAAGCATTGTTACACACGGCAGTTCGAAAGCCACGTCAAAACTCGTCGTTACACTCGCCGAAAAACTGCGACAAGCACGCTGAAAC